AGGAGCCATCTAGTAAGGGACACCATCTACCACTCTTGTTTCCTTTATCTCTTGTGAAAACTCATCATTTGGCAGGTTCTTCCCGCGTACAGGAGCCGGGCAGCTGCCCCTCTTCTGGGGGATGAGATCAGCCTCCCCAGGCGGTGCTTTGAAGTCTGTGCAGTGCACGGGCAATTCGGGCTGATGCGCGCAGCAGGCCCGCTCACGGGGCGGGCTGTGTGATGGCACGACACGCACGGGCGGTCTGTCGCCGAGCTATAAAGGACTGAGTCATTGGCAACAGGCCCTCGTTTTGGCATGAAGTTTAAATGCTTCTCATTTTGTGGAGTGCAGTCAGTGAACTTGGTGATACAACACAGTTCTTTAGTGCAGCACACTAGGAAATGGGAATTTTACTATGCATAGCCGTTTCTCCGGGGAGGAATGGGAGGAACTGAGACTGTGGTGGTTTTCCCCTTTTTTCAGTTCAGCCGCAGTGAGGGACTATCTCGGCGAGAGGAGAGGAACAAGGCCAGAGGGAGTGGTAGCTCTCGGGAAGTGTGGAGACCGGCCAGTCAGCGGTGGGAGCTGGGAGGGCCACCTAAGTAATGAGTTTAATCTAATTTTTATGGTGGGTTGAGTACAAAGCCCTGAAAGTCAGTGACCTTTCTTAAAAATACTGCAAAATTGGATCTAAAAATTAAAAATTTCTAGCTCATTATTGTGTATGTGTGATGTATATGCAGTAAACATCCTGAAACCTTTCTTGGAGTGTAGTTTTCTAAAGCCCTATATTTTTAATGTAATTTTATTCTGATCATCAGAATCACTTAATTTTTTTTTAATTGTGAGTTTTTAAACTAGATGTTGTTCCTCCTATCAGAAAGGTAAGTTTTACATAATTTGGAAATCAGCAAACAAGTATCCCAAGGCAAAGGTTACCAAAACAAGGCTTCCAGTTTATGTTGCGAAGTTCCCTGAGTGCGGGCATCACCGTCGGGCTGTGCTCTCACAGCAGCAGTGGAACAACAAAGTCGTTTCAGTGCGTGTCTGCGCGTTAAAGTGGAAGCATGTGACACCAACAAATGGGTACCACATGGCAGAGATGCCCAGGAGCACTCAGTATTATGAAAGGGGCGATTTAGTTCTGTTTCATTTTTTTTTTTCCTTCAGGGAGGGAGAGGGGAGGAGAGGGCGAGAGGGAGAAGGGGAGAGATTATTCCTGCACAGGAATCAGGCCCCTCATTTTAGTCTGTGCATGTAGTTGGCTTGTTGAGGTTTGATGCCTGCCTGATTTTAATATCAATCTTTACTCTTACACCTTCCATTAACGCTTTTAGATACCAAAATTCTTCATCCTTGCCAACAGAAATGATGGAGAGTGACAGCAACGCAGTACTCACTTTCCTACATCAGCTGACTCTTACGCTGACTTCGAATGGGGCCTGTGGTCTTCTGGCCTTGGCCTGGTTCAATGGTTATTTGTGTGTGCTCACCTCCCTTTCCAGGCCTTATTCATTTATTCAGACAATGATGGTAGAAGCGTTAGTTTGGGCAGGCCCTGTGCTGGCTTTGACTGTTGCTCTCTGGGGTTACCTAGAGAGGAGTACCTAAACGTAGTAGCTCCCGAGAAATGGCATGTGGCCAGAGCGGTGATTTCTCCACGAGTGGTCCGACAGCGTTGGACTTAGAAGACACTTGCCATGAGTGAAAATACTGCTGGTGGCTAGAAACTTTGGTTAACTGACTTCTAAAAAGAATTTACTCCAGTAACTAGAATTCTTAGAACACTCAAACATTAGCTTATCATATCAAAACCATTTCAAGAATGGAATCTTTGACTATATTAGGTAATTATATATCCGCATGTAAGTTTGCCCTTAAATTATTTGTTGTCGCCCTGGCTGGCGTAGCTCAATGGATTGAGCGCGGGCTGTGAACCAAAGTGTCGCAGGTTCCATTCCCAGTCAGGGTACATGCCTGGGTTGCAGGCCATGACCCCCAGCAACCGCACATTGATGTTTCTCTCTCTCTTTCTCCCTCCCTTCCCTCTCTAAAAATAAATAAATAAAATCTTTAAAAAAATTATTTGTTGTCATCTAAATCCTTGAGAGATTTAGAGATTTCCACTGGATGGTGGAAAGAGCATGGGTTTTAGAGTCAGATGATTCTGGTCTAGTCCTGGTTTTATAACTTACTAGCTGTGTAATTAATTACAATTAGCTCCAGCCAGTTGGCTTGGCCTTGTGCAAAATGTTTCTGAGCTTTTGTTTCTCCATTTCATTTTCCCCATTCTATTTTATGGGGATAATAAAACCTAGCTTACATGATTTTCTTGAGAATTCAGTAAGATTATAGATACATTGATAGATCGGTACTAAGTACCTGGCACATGGTAAACAGTTAACATTAATTTCCCTTTTCCTTTTATCCCACTTTTATATTACTTTAGTAGTTGAGTACAGTGTCTTAAAATAACATGTTTTATTTCATTATCAGGAAGGTAAAAGGTATTCAGTATTTTGTGTCAATTATGCAGTGGGAATTGTTAATCAAAAACCTTTGAGACTGAAAGTTTTTCTGAAAGAGAGGATTTATCGAGCCATATGCTAGCCAGAAAAAGGACCAGGTCCCAGAGCATATGGTCTGAGCCACCCACAGCAGGGCGACATGGAGAAGACATACGTGTCTGCCTTCCTGGGGTTGAAAGGGCTCTTTTTTTTTTTTTAAGATTTTATTTATTTATATTACAGGGGAAAGGAGGGGGAGAAAGGAGAGGGAGAGAAACTTTAGTGTGTGGTTGCCTCTTGATTTTCCCCTGCTGGGGATCTGACTTGGCCCACAACCCAGGCATGTGCCCTGACTGGCAGCTGAACCAGCGACCCTTTGGTTCGAAGGCCGGCGCTCAGTCCACTGAGCCACACCAGCCAGGCTTGGGGCTCTTTTACACAGTGGGTTTGGAGAAGAGAGATGCAGGTTGTTTTGGATGAATTTACATTGGCTATAGGTAAGAGGGCGCTGGAAGAGGAGAATGGGGGCAGTTCTGGGATAGGTACATATTCCACAAGGAGAAGCACGTGATGCTTTTGGATTGGTTGTGGCACTGGTTTGGAAAGTTCATGTGTCACCAGTATGCAGTGCCTTCTGGTGGTTGGCCATTCTCTCTAGGTAATTGAGGAAACGGCCACCTGAAAGTTAATGCACTCGTACACTCAGTTAATTCAGCGTACACTCAGGAGCATAAGAAAGCGTTAGTTGGTTTTGGCCCTTTTACCATTAACTGATGAACCCTTCTTGGCTCTACCTTGCACCATGCAGCCTGATGTGATTTAATTCAGGACATCTCAGAATTTCTCCTTCTCAAAATAAATCTGTGGAAAAACTTTGGCTCAATACATGCTAATATAAAGCAGCTTTTTATTTGTAGTTTGTTCCCTAATAGACATTGGTTCTTTCTTTGGTCCTACTTTAAAAACTGATATGAAACCAACACTCATTCAGTATTTGTATTAGAGCTGTGGTCTCCTCCAGAATTTATTAGGCAGCCACAATGCACTGTGTACCCATTATAAAGGAAATGATCAGATCGAATCTGAGTCTACCTTTATATGCAGTGCACTTCTTTTTTAAAAAAATACATTTTAATATGGGTTTAAATTTTTGTAACCATCACTACAAGATACAAAACTGTTCTGTCACCCTGAAAACCCTTCACGGTTTCCATTGTAGTTACATTGTTCCCTGCATGTCTAACCTCAGACAGACACTGCCTGCTGTCGGCCTTCTCCAGGATGTCATACAAATGAACTCGTGCTGCATGTAGCCTTCTGAGACCGGCCTTTTCATTCGGCACAGCGCCCTCGACAGCAACCAGAACTGTCACGAGTGTCAGTGGGGTTGTGTCTTCTTACTGCTGAGTACGTTGTATGGATGGGCCACACTTTGCTCATGCACACACCCATCAGGGCTTATTTGGACTGTTGAAAATGAACAGTGTTACCTTTTTAAAAATACTATCGTTTCTGCGCTCTAAATTTCAAGGTAGGGTAATACATAACTAATCAAGGAAAAGAGAGAAAATAGATAAAACTTGGACTAAAATTATCTGCCCAAACATAACCTCTGTTAACACGTAAGTGCATTTGTTTGGTCTTTTTCCTGTGTGTAGAGTTTTCTTGGCTTATGGTTTTATTCACACAGTTGTAATTCTTGTCTTCATATATTGCTTTTTTTCTGCTTTAGTTGTGAAAAGTGTATATAACATGTGGTTTAAAAAGAGTACTATGAAGCAAACACTGGTGTAGCCATCCAGCCTAAGAAGTGGACTACTGCCAGTATCTTAAGCTTTTTCAAGACCCCTCCCCATCGTACCACCTTCTCTGCACCCGGAGTGACCGCTGCCCTGCCTTTCGTGGCAGTCATTCCCTTCTTCGCCTTCTAGTTTTTCAACCTGTTGTATGTTCTTCCTTTTTCTTTCATTTACTATTTCCAGTATCTGTTCTAGCTCTGTGATAAACCTTTATAAAGATGCTTCTTAGCCACATGGTATTCTGATGAGTGATTGTACTATTTTATCTAGTCATTCCTTCCCCTATTCACGTGGTTTCTGATTTCACAATTGGAAATAATGCTTTGTGTAGAAATAATATCTTTTCAGATGAAGCCTTTTTTTTTTTTTGCATTTAGGATTATTTCCTCTATATAATATTGTGAAGTTTCAAGGTTCTGATGTATGCTGCTAAACTGATTACAAAGAGTTTTACCACTCTATACCACTAGGAAGCCTTATTGTTGCTGGGCCAGCGTCGAGGGTTTTCCTTACCTACCCCAAATGAAAACTCTTCAGGGAATGCAGTGGTTCAAAAACCATCTTACTTTGAGTTTGAGGTTGAATGGTTCCCTCTTGTGTTTATTCAGAGGTTTTCTTTTTTGTTGATCTTGTCCAGCTTTGTGTTGGGGTAAATCGGGTTCTTGAGTAATTGTCAGTGTGGCCTCGTAACTAATTCTTTTATTTTTTTCAGACGTAGGTGCCAGAAACTACAGGCACCTTTGTGCTGTTTACTACAACAAGAATCCTGGGTTTGAGATCATCCATGGGCTACTGGACAGAATCATGCAGCTGCTGGGTGTGCCTCCCGGGGAGAAGAAGGGCGGCTACGCGATCAGAGCCTCTGAAGGTGAGACTCAGCGGCTGAACCTGGGGTCAGGGATGATGTGCCGAAGACGCCTAGCCCTGTTTTCAAGAAAGTTTTTTTTTTGGTGGGTGGGGTTGGGGAGGAAGGAGACAGGGCCTCATTTCAATTACTTGTTAGTAATATCCCTTTCCTTCCTACGTTTAAAGAAAATGCTTTTCAGAGCCTTTGTGCTGCGTGCGCAGTATACTTTCATTATACTCCAAACGTGCTAGTTTCCCACCATCCGAGGAATTCGGGAATTTCTGCTTCTCATCCCTGCAGCTCAAATCTGAGTTCGTTTAGTTAGGCAAGAGATCCAGAAACAACTTGAAAAAATTATCTTACAACTTGTTCCTACTGTTTAATTTATACTTTTTTAATAACTATATGTGGCTTCTTAAATTTTTAACTGAACATTCATTTTTTAGAAGTGTTATTTAGCCATTATTTTGTGGTGTAGGGTTGGGGAGGACTGGTTTTTGTTTTTCCCATAGATTTAGTTTTCTTAGTCCTTGGAGGGTTGTCGTCATTGTTGTTTTGTTCTAACTTGTTTTTATTTGGAGACTTCTTTGAAAATGCAATAACCCAGAACTCGATGGGCCCTTTTAGGTTGAAGATTGATGGGATTGTCTGTTTATAATAAAAAAAGAAAGATGTTACGCTTATAGGATTCTAGAGTGTTAGACCTGAGTCTTGGGGTTTATCAGGTTCAGTTTCCTGGTTTGACAAGGGAAGGCACCGAGGCACAGCGGGTCAGTGAGTCCGGCCGGTCACACGCGTGGAGGCCGGGGTCCCTGCTTCCCAGTGTTCCTTGCACAAGGCCGAGTTGCTTGCATTCATCATTCGTTTTACTGTTAAACAGAAACCTTTGACACTAAAAATTTTTCTGAAAGAAAGGGTTTGTTGAGCCATACGAGCCCGGAGAATCCCCCAAAACAGGAATTTATTTATAAAAAATTGTGTATATATTCTTACGTGTTTAAACTTCAGTCACCTCCCAAGTACTCTCCATTTGATGCAATACACCAATTGAGACTTTTTCTCTGCTCAAAACAGATTTTGAACTCGGTGATTTTGTTGCTTATTTAGTGTTTCTGCCATTTTTTGTTTCATCTCTAACACATTAGCAACACACTTCCCTTTAAGGACTTTTTTCATCTGGAGAAGCAAAAAAGAGTCTCTTGGGGTGAGATTGGGTGAACAGGGAGGTAGGCACAGGGATCATGCTATTTTTGGTCCAAAACTGCAGAACACTCAGTGTAGTGTGGCTTGGTGCACTCATAAAACACTCATCGTGAAATGGGCAAGCGCATTGAAAGAGTCTTCAGAACAAAATCTCTGAAGCCAAACGCAGCCTCTCACAACAACGCCAGCTGGTACAATGATAGAGATGGGTTCCTAGAACACTCACCTAGCAGGGGAAGCCTGTACTACAAGGGGCCCACCTTCTGAAGATAATTCCGGTTTTGGGGGGGCCCACCCGGGGGGCCCACCCCTCATATGCTAGCCAAAAAGAGGACAAGGCCCTTGGGGCATGCAGTCTGAACCACCAGCAGCAGGGCGAGATGGAGAAGGCAAACATGTCCTTGATCACGAGGTGACGGGGCTCTTTTATATAGTGAGTTTAGGGAAGAAAGATGTAAGTCATTCAGAAAGAATGGACTTAAATGACAGGTGAGGGGGTGGGAGAAGGTGCAGGAGGGCAAGTTCTGGGATTGATGCAGAGTCTGGAGGGAGCAGGTACCTGATGCCTTTGCATTGGTCACAGACAGCAGTTGGGGAGTTTACGCATAAGCAACATGTGGTGGCATTTGTTGGTGAGCTATTCTTTTTTGATAAGAGCTGAAATTTCGGCCAGGGGCTTGTCTTCTTCCCACCCTCCAGTCTACTATAATTTAATTTAGGTCAGCTCAGAATTTGGCTCTCTTGTCATTAGTTCGCCAGTTTACTTTTTGAGAATTCTGCTTTGAGATCTGCTTTAAGGTTATCCTTGTTAATAGCAACCTGAAAGCTAATGTGACACACCTTCCAAATCTTACTTCATAAACAGATTAACTGGATAAAAATCAGTTCCCTGAAACAGATTATACCATGTATTTGAGGTCTAATTTTTTGTTCTTACTTGAAAGGTTGCAAAGAGCTGAAATGGTAATTTGGAGCATAATTTATTGTGGGTTGATACTTGTGTACGTAACTTCTATATTAATGGTGTTTCTATAAACCACAAACCGATGTCTTAATATTATGACTCTCCTGCCTCAGTAAGCTCCTGAGACATTTATTTCCCACAAGCATCTGCGTTCCCAGCCAGGAGGCAGGGTTTAGGAGGCAAGGATAAGTAGGACACCGTCCCTACCCTCAAGGTGCCTGCAGCGGGAGAGACCCCTGCAGACCTGGTGTCACAGCGGGTGCCAAAACGAGTGCCGTGAGGTCTCCAGAGAGGGAGATGGTGCGGCTTCTTGGGGGCATCTGGGAAAGCATTCATGAGTTTCTGGGCTCTTAGATGGGCCTTTGAAAGAAGGATAGCTGGAGACCGAGGAAACAAGGCAAAGCACACGAGAAAGCCACAAAGGCTTGGCCGATGGGAGACGTGGCCAAGTGCAGTTTGGTTTGACTATAGGGCGAGGGAGGAGCTTAGCACTATATTAAGAGTTTTGAATGCTAGAATAAGGAATCTTAACTAATTAGGGGGAAATATTGAAGCTCCTCCCTTTATTTTTTTAAGTGAGTGATATGATTAGATCTGTACTTCAGAGGGATTAATCTGGCAGCAATATGTGGGTTGGGTTGCATAAAGAGTAGAGGTGAAGAGATGGCTGAACATGTTACAGTGTATTCGAGAGCAGTTGGAGTGAGGACTTGAACTTGAATGCTGGCCATAGTTACACTAAGGAGGAGATGGATTTAAGAAACTTCAGGAAGGTAGAAGCCACAGTATTCAGCATTTGGAAAAGTTCATGATATGTGCCACTTGGAACCTTTTATGATACAGCTAATACATATTGATCTCCTTTGATAAAGTCAGATTTTAATCATTCTAAACCCATGACACTGTAATTTGAATCTTATTTATTTTGGCACCAAAACAATGTGGTACTTAGCATGTAAGTTCTCTAATATGTAGATGTCTGATGTTTTGGTTTGGAGTATACTATTTTTATTAGAAGATACATTCATAAACTGTACCCACTTATGATGTGTTTGTAGATCTGTACGTTCAATTTTTTTAGGCCAAATTGTTAATATGGTTTTTGGTTACATATGGAGCCAGAGTCAAGCTTGTGTGTCCTTTTGAATTCACTTTGGTTCTCATAATAAAACATTGCAACATTTTAAAGTTTTTACATGTATGAGAAGTCCTAGATTTATGAATTTGAGAAGGTTTGGTGCAACTTCTTTATACGTACATGTGGCCTCGATCAGTACATATTCCAGTGTATCTAACTGGCTTTCTCTGAAAAAAGACAAGCATTCACTTTCCATGTCTCTGTCAGCAGCGCCGGCCGCATCATTTTCCTCGGGATGCTTTCTGTAAGAGCCCTCAAGCCAAAGGGAGTGAGTGTCGCTGTAAATAATAGCTCCTCATTTCTCGTAGGGATTTCTAAGTCTGTTTTGACTGTCTAATGGCAAATACGATTATCTTTTTTTTTATGGTTAAAGAAATTAAGATCTAAAGGCGTGGCTTGTCAAAATAAATCAGCATTAGTTCTTCATCTAAAATTTCATAAACCTGTGAACTTCGTATAGCTTTATCTCATGAGTAAACCTGTAAACACAGATTTTGGTTGCTGGGGTATGTTTACTTACATCATATTTTTCAAATTTATAATTTTGCATGTTAAGTATAGGTGTTCTGACTATCAAGAAGTAAAGTAGAAAGAGATTAAGAACTGCTGTTTCCTTACCATTCTTGATTGCTGAGTTGTCTTCTGTTACTCTGGCATATGGTTTACCTTTTAATAATTAAAAATCCCTGGTGGCTTTGCAGTTACTTTTGAGCTAAGTCTGTTCACCAGAGATGCCTGCTCGCAGCAGTCCACTGGTGGCAGCTCTGCCTCCTCTCTCCGTCCTTTCGGAGGAACCACCCGTTTCCTCCTGAGCGGCTTTGTTTGGAGGTGGGGGAAGTGGAACAAAACATGATGCCCCTTTGAGGAACTTGGCCCTGTTCATTGTATGGGAAATCTGGAAACCCATTTAACTGATCGCCACACCGATCCCAAGGAGTTTTGTGGACACCGGCGTGGAAGCCTGCTCGCTGTGCAGGCGGCTGCCCTCGGCTGCGTGCGGAGCCCCCGCTGAGGTCGCTGAGCCTTACAGAGCCTCCGTGTGCTGAGCACCCTGCAGTTAAGAATATAAAGTGAGGCAGACGGTCGAGTTGCCTGCCGATGAGAATGAGGTCAGTTGTTGAGTGGAAACGAAGGAAGGAGCAGCTTTAACTTTTTGTTGGACTGCAGCGCATTTAGAGGGTCCCCAAAGTGTCCACTCGGAATGTTTCGGTGGCACTGGATCAGATCATTACAGCGTCTGGGTGCGCTCTTCTCCAGGCTTCTTGCCCTTTGTTTTTGTGGTTTGTTGCAAACTAAATTATGTATGTTAAAATGCATTTCTCCTTTTCAAAAACCACTTTTGGGCAGGGAACATTTTCCACATTTTTGTGTTTAGAGCAGTTATGTGGTTCCCGGGCAAATCAGCGGCAAAAGCCATTTCTTTTAGAAGGCAGAGGGTTTTGTGTGGGATTGGCTGCAGCAACTTAAGGGTGTATTTTTTCCCCTTTAATTTGTTACCTATTTCAGTTTATTTACAGTTCTACAGAAAACTTCAGTTTAACTTGAGACAAGATCTCTGATGGACGAAAGTTGTAGAACTTTTAGTTTTGACAGTGCTAGTTTTCATGCTGCTCAGGATTCATTTTGTGAAGTGAAAAGTAACCTTGTAAGTAATACACACCTAATCCTGCACCATATGTACCCACAGCGGCTGCTTACATACCTTCTGTTACAGTA